CCAACAGGGAGGAGGGATACACAACTGTGCAGAACCTGGCATATCCCGACATACGAGCCCATTGATTGTCCGCTGAGGAAGCAGGTGTTTTTCCATTGTATGTAGTCGTGCAACATTGTCCGGCTCTGCCATGCATTGACATTGACTCTGTTACCTAGTCAATGTAAAAACATCCTGGTAAAAACCCCTGAGGCTTAATTTAAACACAGGATCATTTAAATGCAGATGCTGCTGTAGTTGCACATGTTAAAGTGAAGGAAAGACGAAGGAGAATGAGTCGTGATGCTCGAGGTGGATAGGACGAGGTGAAGCCGCCCAAACACATCTTTTCAACGCTGTAATAACGAGTTAAACGCTTTAGCAAACAGCCTGAATGCTGTGTAATGCTGTGTAACCCTGTGTGCACTGGCATCTGCTTTAAACTGATGTTGTTAGAAGGGGAACAGGAAATGTGCAGAGCTTGAAAAACACTTTGCAGTTAGATCGCATAAAAGTTGTGCAACGGAGGCTCGGTCCTGCAAGAGGTGTATGAAGCGATAAAATGAAATCTCCGTCCTGAGGCCAGCCGACGACACACAGACACACTGGGCGTAATTTGCACGTGTTGAAACTTCAAGTTAGAAATAAACAGTTGCTTTGCAGATAGAGAAAGACTCAATCTCTTACCTTAAACTGCAGTTATCAGTGCCCTACATCGTCGCCCTGATCGACCACATGTGGCAGAGTGGAGGGAAACGACGCAGAGAAAACATCCTCCTCTGCTGGTGCTCGTCTAAAATAGATCCTCCGGCTGCACAGTCCGGAGAGCGTGTGCTGCAAAACAGGAACTGAATGATTCTTTATGCTGAGGTGGTTTGCGCCACATTGTGCCGATGATCAGTGGTGACACGAGAACGTCTGTAGAACACCACACACTGTCATTCATGAAATAAAGAATAAGAGAGACGTGAAACTTTACTTGATGATCGACTTGAATTAAATGTTAATGTTTTGCATGACGTTGTCAGTTTCAGCTGTAGACTCAAGGAACAGCAGCCTAATAAATCGAATCATCTCCCAATTACATCCTGTGACTGGATGTTCCCATTATACATTAACGTGTCAATGCAAAGTGGAATAAATACAATCCAATGTTTAAAAATATACATGAAATTGTGTTATTTAAACTCGCTCAGACGTACAGTTCGACTGTTCAGGCAACATATTATAAATTAAATATGTAACATAAACTCACGTATGCATATGTAATTGCTGCACCATTGCAAAAATTAAATAAATATCCACATGAAAGGAACATGTCATGTATTTGGGAACATTTCCGGATCTGTGGTTCTGTTCGTTTTTGTCAAAACACATTTTGTGAGAGATTACGCAAGTAAAACACATCCTGATGTTAAGTCTGGAGATAAATGTGCATCTCTGGCACTTGTTCAAATTACAAGAATTCAATTGCAGCGCAGGTATTTGACTTGTAGTTTAACTTTCCTACCAGAAGATGTCCCTGCTCCCTCTCCCTCCGCAGAGACACCCACCAGGCTCCTCTCCTCTCGGAGTGAGTGGACCCCCTTTTCTGTGGATCAACAGGGAGGGAATGGGACAGACAGAGATAGAGGTGGGCAGAGGTGTGACTGAGTGGACAGACGGAGGCAGAGGAGGACTCAGAGCCAGCTGGGCATCTGCCACATCTTATTTTTATTTAGATCGGTTCAAAAGGAGAGGGGGACTAGCAGGAGTTTTTCGTGCGTAAACGACATCGCTTGTTCTCCAAATTCTCAGTAGTTGCGCTTCACTTTCAGACTGAGGAGTTTATTTGGAGGTAGAGTCCTGGGTGGAGTTTTCTTTACCTCGTAAGATTATTTCACACACATTTGTTGTTTCATGCTTCGTGTCCAAGTTTTTTTTTCTTCCAAATATCTCCGCGCATCACTGATGTGCGTAATTACTTGCGCTGACTTTGTCTTTCTCGTAATTCCTGCAGTGTTATTAATGTTGTGTCTTCGTTGCATTGCAGCGCATGAGTCCCTGCGGCGCACGGATTACAATGCAGATGCTCCTGGAGGTCTGGCTCACCTTGGTGTCAGTTTCTGCGCTGACCAGAGGCGTCTTCGCAGGATACGGGCTGAGCATGTTCGCAGCGCAGTCGTCTCCTCCAGACCCGTGCTACGATGAGAACGGGAACCCGCGGAGGTGCATCCCCGACTTCGTCAACTCCGCTTTCGGGAAGGACGTGCGCGTATCCAGCACCTGCGGCAGCCCGGCCTCCAGGTACTGCGTGGTGACCGAGAAGGGCGAGGAGAGGTCGAGGGACTGTCACACCTGCGACGCCGGCGATCCCAAGAAGTCCCATCCACCCGCGTACCTGACGGACCTCAACAACCCGCACAACCTCACCTGCTGGCAGTCTGAGAACTACATGCAGTACCCGCAGAACGTCACCCTCACCTTGTCCCTGGGGAAAAAGTTTGAGGTCACCTATGTGAGCCTGCAGTTCTGCTCACCTAGACCCGAGTCCATGGCCATCTACAAGTCCATGGACTACGGTAAATCCTGGGTGCCCTTCCAGTTTTATTCCACGCAGTGTAAGAAGATGTACAACAGGCAGAACAAGGCGGCCATCACCAAGCAGAACGAGCAAGAGGCCATCTGCACCGACTCCCACACCGACATGCACCCTCTGACGGGCGGGCTCATCGCCTTCAGCACCCTGGACGGGAGACCGTCCGCGCACGACTTCGACAACTCCCCGGTGCTGCAGGACTGGGTGACGGCCACCGACATCAAGGTGATCTTCAGCCGGCTCCACACCTTCGGGGACGAGAACGAGGACGACTCGGAGCTGGCCCGCGACTCCTACTTTTACGCGGTGTCGGACCTGCAGGTCGGAGGACGGTGCAAGTGCAACGGGCACGCGTCGAAGTGCGTGAAGGACCGAGAGGGGAATCTGGTGTGCGAGTGCAAGCACAACACTGCGGGACCGGAGTGCGACAGGTGCAAACCTTTCCACTATGACCGCCCGTGGCAGCGCGCCACGGCCAGAGAGGCCAACGAGTGCATCGGTAAGTCTCTCGCCGTGTTGTCCTTCATTCCCTGTGGAGCTGCTGCAGCGTTTAAAATTTTTCTTCACTAAATTAATTCTGCACATTCACGGAATAGATGAGGTTAAATATGAGCCACTTTTATTTCCACTTGGCGCTTTACGCACAGAAATTACGCACCGGCCAGTTGTTTATTCGTTAATGTGAATTTACTTGCTGGGAATTAAATACAGATACAGATTTAGACTGAAAAGATTATCATACTAATTTGCCTTTTCTTTGTTATTTAGAGGTTAAATGAATTTGTGGTCAAATAATTAAATGAAGAGACAAGAAGGCCTCGATTTGAAACCTCACGACCTAAACTGCAAAGTAATGATAATT